GTGTGTGTGTGTGTGTGTGTGTGTGTGTGTGTGTGTGTGTGTGTGTGTGTGTGTGTGAGTGAGTGTGTGTGTGTGTGTGAAGACGGGCGCGTGGTTTCGCACCTGTAGACTCGCGATCTGTGGCACAAACCTTGTAGTCGTTGTTAGTGCCGAAGTAGATCGGCACGAAGGCCAGCCAGACGATGCACGTGGAGTACATGGTGAAGCCGATGTACTTGGCCTCATTGAAGTCCTCCGGTATCTTGCGGGTCTTGAACGCGTACAGGGTGCACATCAGGATCAGGAACATGTTGTAGACGAGGGACATCATCAGGGAGAACGTGGACACGCGGCACGTGAGCACCGCGGACAGCGGATACGGATGGATCTCCGTGGTGTCCGGCGGCTCGATCATCAGCCATACGATCGCGCCGATTAGTTGTACTGCGGTGATCCCTGAGCAAATGGGAGTCACGTAATCCAGGATCAGGTTCTGCGTACTTTAGAAGCCACTGTTTGCATTGTTAATCGAATAATGAACGGAAACGTGCTGAGAAGAGAAGATCTATGCAATGTCCCGCGCATTTCTCCAAATTATTTCCTCTTCACAAAAGCAGAATAAAGTTATTTGATTTAAAAAATAGAATATTATTTATATTTGTATATAATTTACGAGATTTTATAGTTAATAAAAGGCGCGATTGGAAATCATAACTTCTCGCATAACTTTCTATTAAAAAATAATATGTCATAAAACTTGTAAAATTTTTAAGACGCGGAGAGAGGGTAGAAAGAACAATGACGATTAACTCAAATCGTTGTTCAAGTATCTCTTGAGATATTAATTCCTGTTTAAAAATAAATAGCGTTATGGAGCGTGATGTTTAGTTTTGATCGAAAGTGTAACAAGTATACGGATTGCGTCAGTAAAGTGCAAATTTTTATCGTGTCTATCTTAATAAGAAATACCGATGCGAAATCTTATCGTAAGGATCGCACCATTATTCCCTTTCTTCGGTCGAACACGGCTTTTATTTCACGTTGTGTCAAGCATCGGGGTGCAATTATCCTCTCAATGCCACAGCTTGTCGACGTGTTTACCGAGGTGAGTGCAGCTCGTACTCACCGATAGCGATTACCACTTGGCTCTTGGGCGATGTGTAGGAGAGCCTCTTGATCTTCTTCGTGCCCTGGTTGAATATCCGCGATATTCGATTGGTTTTCGTGAGGATTGCGCTGTAGCATATACTGAGACAGAGACCGAGACCGATCCTGAGGTATGTGCAATTCCATATCGTCGGCTTGCTCAGTATGACGAAGCTCATGCCGTAGCAGGAGAGAATTCCCACCAACAGAACGTAACATAGCTCACGTCCCGATGCCATAATCACCGGAGTACGATTGAATCTGCGGTTCAAACAGAAAATATTCACAGCAAGATTGACGAGGCCAGACAAGATACTTTAATTAATTTTTTCGATGTTTACAGAAATTCTATACGTTAATTTTGAGTATCAAATAGATTAAGCACTTAAAAATATTGAATTGTGATAAATAATATTTTTGCAAGTGTGCGACTCGATATCTTTCGTATTTGCTTATATTTCTTTATTTATTTATGTATTATTTTCAACGCTTTGGTGTTCTTTAACATCCGAAAAAAAGTAAAATTTCTTTTAATTGCATTGATTAATAATAAGGAAGATGTGCTTAGGTACAAAATTTGTCATTATATTTTCTCGAGGTGTTGAGTCGTATGATAAATAGTTTAAATTATCAGCCATAATTTTTACACAAGAAACTATACGCGGATTTGATAATTACGTGTTAATCACTTAAACTCAGTAAAAATAAAAAAGAAAAACAAGTCTGTAGAACTTCAAAAGTTCTATTTCTTTTTGTACATCTATGTATAATGAAATACAGAAAACCTTTTAGCCCTTTAATTAAGTAAGTTTAATAGGTCGCTAATTAAGCTTTTGATTAAATTTTTGCTTCAAAAGCATCGACTTTCAATCTTTTTAAGTACTCTTTTTCGATGTTAATATTCCCCGCTCAACCTCGTTATATTTTCATTGCAAAAGAAGATGTCAGATGTGAGTCAAATTAATTCGTCATTTTTATACATGACGGTAAATCCAAAAGAGCTTTTTTGCATTAATTATATTTTTACTTAACGCAATAAAAATTTTGACTTAATCACATTATTTGTTAACACTTTGCTGTCCGCAGTCTACTGTGGCATCTGACAGAAATAAACTACAGCTATGATATAAACACTGAGCTGTATATATTTTTGATTGCAAACAAAGGCGTCAAAAGACATTTATTAAATTTGCTCTCAGACAGTTAATCGTACATTAAGCCTATCACATAATACAAAGGTACAGGCAACGGAAATAACCACATTTCAATTTACCGAAAACTGTGTATTGCCGCAATATGGAATATGAAATAAGCAATAGGAACAGAATTTCCGACGCGTTGGATTTCTATTCTCTATTGTCTGTATCTGAACAATCATAGTAAATTCAGTTTTATAAGTTGAAATGGGATTATTTCTGATGTCTGGTTTATTCCCTGTTTCTATTGCCTGTACTTTTGTATTGTGTTCAAGGCTTCACTCGCGGTGTTATAATGTAACTACTTTTTTAACGTAACTGCTTGCATGTATGTATTTTACATTCCGACATTACATCTCAACGTTCATTGTACTTCTTCTTCATTCTTTGATAATTTAAAATTAAATCCTCCTTCTCCATTGTTTTTTGCTCGATTTCGAGCGTCATGACCCCTCTGCATCTCTCTCTCTCTCTCTCTCTCTCTCTCTCTCTCTCTCTCTGTACGTGTGTATGTGTGTTAGATATATGGAACCTACAATTTAACGTCGATTTCGAACGGCAAATGTAGAGGAGTGCTCGTGACTAGATACTCTCGGTAGGTGGCTATTACCTTCCGAGAGTGGACGATCAAATAAAAACTGATGATTTTTGGTCGGATTTAAACTCAGATCTTTAGCTCATTAGAGCAAAGAACACATGTTTCTTACACTATAATCGTCAATTAATACAATTAAATAAAAATTGATAATATTATATATTTTTTAAAAGTAAATGTGCAAAAGTTCTTCTTTAATTGTGAAACATTGTGTGCAGCATTCAATCAATAAAAAAGTTTTACTCTGTGAATTTAGTAGATTTATAAAACTGCAGTAAGGGAGACCGGGGCAGAGTCGTCACTGGGGTGGAGTCGTCACTACAATTATCTCGAAATCTGTATGTTGTGTGAACTCGCCATTAATATTGTAAACACTACTTATGGTGCCCATGTAACCAACGGAATTTAGTGAGATTATACGCCATGTTGTGATTTTCATTAAGGCAAACGTGTTTTCGGAGATCAAAAGTAAAATTTTTTGCGCATCAAAAATTATAAATATTTTAAATATTATTTTTTCTTAGAATCTCGAGATAAGTGATTCTGGAAGAGTAATGCATGCTGAATACGAATCCAGTAAAAAATTTTTATTTTCGTTGATTTCTAATATTTCATGAGCGATCAAGCTTAAAATCTGTGTCTGGGGCGAAGTCGTCACCAAGCCATATCATGGAGGCTTCGGGCGAAAATCAAAGTCAAAGAAGCAGCAGGGGTGGATTCCGGCGAAGACTTGAAGGATAATATGTGCTGCGTGTGCTCAGAGATGACAGAATAGAGCTGACGAAGAACAGTGCGTTTCGTGCGAGCGTAGGGCACATAAGTGTGTGCGCTTTTCTTATAATTATAATTATTTTCCGCCATCGTGTTTTTAATTAATGTTTCCATTTTTCTATTAAAAAATAATTAATAAAATGTATCCTATCATTTTTCATAATTGGAATTGATATTTCATTTAAAATTTATTCCGAGAATGGAGTGATGACTCCGCCCCGGTAATTTTGACATTCCAATTTTTGCACCTTTGTCGTTTTCATTCTATAGCAGTTGAACGAAGCGACGTAGACCAAAAATGTCCTTATAAATTTTGTAACCAAAGGTTCACTCTTTACAACGGTATACTACATTTTATTAAAATTATTTCTTTTGTTGTTAAAAATCGGCACCGCGAAAGAATAGTGATGATTTCGCCCCGGTTTTCCCTATATTTTACAGTAACGTATATAAACATATAGAGTAACGCAAAGTAACGTAGAGTTAAAAATAATAGTTTATTTCTAACCGAAAAAGTCAAACGTATATTGAATCTTTGAGGCAATAAATATCACTTTTCAAGATTTCTGGAAAATAAAACATATTATAGACTTTATTTTAAATATTATTTAAATTATTTCTCTTTTGTATGATACGTTTTGAAACAATATTCTAGATATAATCTTATTACGTTGAAGGCAGTTTAATTATAACGTTTGCATTGTGTAGTTTCAATCATGTTTAAAATTGTTTTAGCGTTGTCAGGCAACGTTTCGCTTAAATTGTTATTCATAACACCTGCATACTATAATTGATGTACGACATACGTATATGTCGAAGATTAATATTCTTACATCACGACGGCTGTGTGGCGTTAGTGGACCGTAACGTTCTGTGTGTTGTCAGCGGATTGCAACATCAATATCCGAGCGACACAGCTCTGTGTCGTCGGCGGACCGTAGAGTGTTAATGATAGAGTCTTTAAAAACCAATTAAAGAATGGCTTCTGTTTAACAGAAATATCAAGCAATTATTGCAACCTTTGATATTATATACATATACTATAATGAAATCCCAAATTAATATTCTATTTAAACCGGATCCATCACTCATCTGAGAAGTGGATTTGCTACATAAGCAATTAAATTAAAGTACAACGCGATGGAGGGGAACATCTTACCGTATGAAGACGACGGTAGTGAAGAGAGTGCTGAGGATACCGATGGACGCGAATATCAGCGGTACCAGCGCCCAAGGACTCGTCCAGGGTATGACCTCGGCGGTGAGCTTGACGCAGCCCGTCATCGTGGAATTCGGCGCATACCCGGGATTACAGTTTTTGCACGTGTCGTTGTACACGTAGGAGTCCTCCCGGCAGGCGACGCAACTCCAACAGCAGGGTTCCTGAAAATTGGCAAGTTCCTTATAACATATAGATCAATTGAGAGACAAGTGAAAACAAACAATTATAATAACCGTTTGTCTTGAATCAGTGGAGAGTAACGAAGCTTGTAGCCGCAGTGAATTGTCGATATCAATTGTTAGTAATCATTGTTATTGTTGACAATTGATTGCTAACGATTTAATAAATAATTTAATAATTGCAACGGTTTTATAATAATCTTATGCATTTCATTGATTTATCGAGAGAGCATGTTGTACATCCAGGGATTAAATTCTGCACGTCGTATACCGGTCGAATTACTGAATTAATCGCGTGAAATTAAACAAAGTTTAAAATTAGAGCTTAGGCGATCCGCTATCGTATTGATATAAATCACGAGTAAATAGGATTTTAATAATAGAAGAGATTTCAGCGAGAAGCACCGAGGGCATGCAGGATTTATGTCTGATTGTACATACAGGAATATACGAGCGAGCTTATGCTTTTAGACAAGCGGATTTTCTTGGATAAGAAGCGACAGTTTGTCAGTATCTATAACCATCGTTGTCTGAACGATTGAAAAACGAGTGACGTAAAGGTACATTTCAATACGTGACGTATGACGTCCAACGGTATTCAGGGAGAAACCTATTATTTTTCATGTAACTGTTGAAAAAATACTGTTAGATATACCGATGAGATCTTCATTGACGTTTGTTTGGAACTAACGGACAAACAGACGGATCAGAATTATTTACGGAAGCTGCATGGAAAAATAAATTTGCTACCGGGCGCAACAAATGCCTCCCGCCTCCATCCATTATTAGCGTCAGCTTCCTCCGCGTTACACCGCGGAATAACAAATGGTCCACGTCACCGGTAAAACTGACGGTTTCATCGCAGTTCGAAAGTACTTAAATTTATTCGAGTTAGTACTCGCTCAAGTAATATCCATAAACAACAATAATAGGGGGATAAAAGTGGACCAGTGGTGCAGGAATATGACTGGCGAGAAGATATTTCGTAATTATGGAGGAACTTTGTGTAAACGCGTAACTTTATACTTTATTATGTCATGCGTACCGCACATAAATTGTATGAATTGACAGTTATTAATAATCTCGCGTTTCAATCAGCCTGCTATTATTAGGCTATTATTGACCGACATCGATTTTCAAGGCGTCGCGTATAATTTCTGATTGCTAATAATACTCTAATGGCTATAATAATTTCCATTATTGTCATTAGCATTTGCCACAATGAAAACTGTTGTAATTATTATAACGATTACGGGTTACATTATTTGCAGATCAAATTGCGTGTGATTAATAATTTTGCAGAAATGAGTGAAAACATGGCGATAATTAGCGTTTTAATTGTTGTTACAACAAACGGTCATTGATAGGCATTTATCATGCGCAGTTCAATCGGACAGTGTATGCAACTTGTAACGCGCGAAACGCGCGCACCAGTTAAATACGCACTTCTAGTGTAATTAATTAATTATTTAATTAAGTCACGCTTAATGAATCGCACCTATGAACGTTTGCTTGCATTTCTCTTTCGTTTGAGTAATACGAAGGCTGACGTGAAAAATGCGGCGGATTGTTTTCGGATCTCATTATATGCAAGCATGCAATGTTCGTTTAAATCCGGTTAAATTAACAAAATAATTTCGCATATGTTGATTTGGCTGACATTCTGTTTAATAGAATTTCCAATAATAAATACAATAAAATCTGTGTATCTTTCATTTTGTATTGTAGACGCATTAATATTCAGTAATAGTCTATTACATACTTCGATTACTGTGTTCTCCTCTCTTAAAGGTTAAATTTCTACCGTCCATAAATTAATTGTAATTTGTAATTAGGTTACGTACATGTATGTAAAGCAATTAAGCAACACTAAACTATAATTATAAAATAAAAACTATCTGCAATAAGAATATTATAAGAGTGGATTTTTTTAGTGCATCGACAATATTAAATGGCAGTATTTATTAAATTGCAATAAAACGCCAATATGTACCTATACTGGACTTAATTTTTACCCTTTTGTATATGCTTTTGTAATGCATTTTGTAATAATAATAAATTTTACTCTACTATATATTACTTTAAATAATTTAACTTTTTGATTTTACATTCGCAAAAAATAAGATATTTATATAATTTAAAGAAAATCACGTCAGTGATTATAAAAGGAATGGTTAAAAAATTTTTTATATAAAATTTTACTTATGTTATATTTAAGATAAAAAATAAAAGTATAATATAACATATATAATATAAATTTAACAAATTAGTAAACGGCGATACGAGTCAGGCGCGGTACGTGGTGCGCAAGTAAAGAAATTAACAGTTACAGAAGTAATGAATTAAAATGTATATAATATAAATATACAAATATTCCAACTTAATAAACTGTGCGCCGATTATTTGTCGGACTTGAAACACAGCTATCGTTGGAACATTAATATCCTTCCCTCCCCGGAATTAAATCGATGCGATTTAATTATTTAAAAAACTGTAAAAAATTTATTGCGAAAAATATTACCTCAGCCAGAATTCGAACCTGGAATCTCCCTCATTCCGGTCTAATGACATATTTGAATATAAATTTAGATGAATAAATGATATGAAAATTTGTCCTTTAATTTTTACTTGAAATTGAATCAATTAATGGCCACACTTGACCACATTACATCGCATTCATCATAGCGAGACATTTCGTTAAATTTATTTGGTAAATGCAGAGCTCTGCGTTGGACAGGGAAAACGAGACGGATGCTAACAATAAGCCGCACGAATCTCTATTTATTTGTAAAGTGCAAAAGTAATGAACTTGAGAACGATACAAACAGCACACATCGATCTGCATAGATTGGAGAACTAAGTAAGAAGGTATGAGGCAAGAGAACAATAATAGATGGGAGTTCAATCCTCTAATCCGGGAGGATCGAACCACATGGTAACTCCCTCGTGGGATCGATAACGAGGGAGAATTTGCAATATTCCTAACAGATAAGATCGCATTATTTATCAGGGATTAATCGGTTTTGCAATGCAAACGATGTAAGACAAGGGGGTTGATTGTGTATCTTGAAACGAGGTGAAAGTAACAAAAGTGAATAGATTTATTAGATTTACTGGATATTCTACCTTATTTATGTAATTTTTCTCGTTTCAAGATACACAATCAATCCCCAAATAGCCAAATCTGACGGAAACAAATTTTGCAAAGTGTGTTTGCCACAAATTTTGTCAGCAAAACGTCAGCAGAGATTATGACGTAATCTGCTAGCAGATTATGACGAGAGATTGACTGTAGAAATTAATCGGCCATTTCGTAACCAGTTAAGCGATACATTCTATTTAAATGATTACAAGATGATAGATTTCTGCTGAAAATCTTTTGTCGGCAAACCGCTTGCTGGCAAAACTCAATAAGTGTAAGAGCACACTTGCCAATCTGCTGCAATCTTATGTTTGAATTTACAAACTGCTGGCATACTTTGCTAACATTTTGCTCACTGAGGAGTTTACTAACTTTAGGCAAAATTGTGGTATTTTCCTCAAGAACCGCGAGCGTTAGTAGACGCCAGCTCTTTCCTAATAAAAAGTAATAACAAAACATCAAAAGTAATAACCATAAATGAAACTTTTATCATTAACGAGTTCTCTCTCGTCATTAACCGATGAGGCGCGGATGTGATGATTAAGCTTTAAATCTCGAATGAACTTGTTCCGGGAGCAAATTGCGGAAAAAGTGATAAAACGAAAGTAATTACGACGATGAACAGATAGCAGAAAACGGAATTTAAGGGACTTTAAGACTTTGAATTCTCTTCCTAAACCTTGAATAAAATTTAAGCTGGAATCAGAAAAAAAAGTTTCCCAAAAAAAGTTCCCTCGTATCTAAGAAAGAAAGCTTAAATATAATGAAAATTCTGCTGAAAATCCTGCGAGATGTGTGCACAGGTTGATAATGTAAAAACTATGGATGGGAAAGAAGAAAAGCAAATAATATGAAGAAAGCATATGGTTTGTCGATTAAGGTCGCGGATGATCGTCTTGAAATCCGGAAGCAAATTGCACAAAAATGATAAAGCCAAGCCAGCTGCGAGAAGGCAGAGAGAAAGAAGGAAATTTCAGGAGCTTAGATTAAGATTAAAGGAAATGTAAATTAAACTTGCAGGAAATATACCTACGAGCAAAATCAAAGTTTAAAAGTAACGGAGCATACGAACAAGGTGAAATGAATGCTTTCGTTTTCGTTCCTCGAAAGTACTTCGAGAAATATAAACGAGAATAATTGGAACTGTTGATTCCTCCTAAAGTTAAAGTACTACGAAACAGTGGTAAGAGATACTACAACAATACATTGCATAAATGAAGAAAGCACAATTATGTATATAACACATGCGAATATAAAAATAATTGAAAAATCATTAAATCATACATTAGTGATATTTTAAAAATCTGATATGACTTTCGTTATACGCGAGGATCTGTATATCCACAAGTTCCCGGAGTTTGAATTTCTTGTGTACCTATACTGGAGCAGGAAAAAAATTTACCGCTAAATATCGCGAGTGTACAGTATTGTGAAACAACCTGTCACGTGACAATGTGTGCTGAAAACATCGTGTCATTGTTCAGGAACTTTCTTGTAGCGTTTGAAAATGTTTAATAATTATTTTATGAGCTGAAAATGATTGATATTAAAGAACGGCGAGTGTATGAAATATTTTGTTTTCTTTTGAGCAAACCTGCTCAAACCCATTGTTTATCTCACAATGCTCAAGAAAACTTTTAAAAATAATGCCATTAAAAAACAAGAAATATATATACATATACACATAACAAGAAATAAAAGCAAAAAAGAAGTGCAAAAGTAAATACGAAAAATGTAATTTTTTTAAAACAATTCCGGAAACTTTGGGGCACATCTTTATAAATGTATACGAATAGTAGTTTTATTTCTCGAATTAGAAAAGATCGTATTATATATCCGTTTTTATAAATGATCAAAGAAACTCTTCGCAAATTTTCTTTCTTTTGCGTTTTTTAAAGAGAGGTTAATTAGTTGCCGTGGCCGTAATGAGACGCTCGATAATGCCTTTGGCTGTGGCAATTCGTCACGGTATTGGATATTTTTTCGTTTGCTCAATATCAACTAAAAGAAGCAACCAATTATCGGAGTTATGGAGTTTTAAAGGCAAACTGTCGTTAATTTAAAAAAAAATTTGATGAGTGCCTCATTAACTCTCGGCGATGAAACATTAAGCGAGACCCTTTAAACATTTATGAGCCATATTCAGGAATATGTCCGAACCATGTGAACTAAATGAGTTACGTCCCAAGAGATTTAAAAGATAGAAGGTATCGCTACTTCACAAATACAGTTTAGTATAAGTTCTGATAACGCAGATTTACAGTCTCTGACTTAATTAATTAAACTGGATATTAAAATAGAGCTAATAATACAAAAAATTTAATTTTAAAACTGCAAAAAAATACGTTAATTTAAAATTAGTCTGAATATTTTATTTTAAAATAAAAGGAAGATAAAAGAGATAAGAAAAAAATAAATATACAAAGTTTTGAGAAGATCTCTTTTATACAATATATATATATATATATATAAAATGTATTGACCGAGAAGGAACATATTTCGAAGGAGAATAAGCCAAACGTTGTAAGAAAATTCCCCCAAAAATTGTAAAAACAAAGTTCGGAGACTTTGTGAACAGACTTTGTATATTAATGCTATTTTTATTACGCTGTACTTGTAATAAACTTGTTTCTCTCTGAAATTCCCTTAGGTCTGGAATAATCGAGAATTGGAGCTCCATTTTTAATCTAAAATCGTGAAGTTGCTAAAAAATGGCTCGACATCCCGTTGAGTGGGAAACAAACATAGAAAACTCCGCGGCGCGGTACAATTACTATTGCATTATATATATGTGTTTACGTCCGAGGAGAAATTTGCAGGAAACGTCGGAAATACGGAAAATGTTCGCATCTAAGGTTAAACTCGGGATTGGGACACAATTACGGAATCTACTTTAACTTGCATGAAATTTTGGCCATCGAAAAGACAGAAAGTGAGAATAGAGAATAGAAAAGAGGAGAGAGGTGGAATGAGATAGAAGATAGTCCGTGTTCACTTTCTTAGACTCGCATATAGGTATATAGAACTTCTACAGTCGGGCTCCCATGGAATTTCAGTCAAAATGTGCATCAGAATTTAATTATATAAATCGTGCAAGGTAAGCTGAATTATCGCCGGACTAACGACACAATTTCATTTAGTTTCGATACATCGAAGCAAATTCAATTAATAAGTTCGTATTTTGTCTTCAATGTATTTTGTATAGTTTGCTCTCACAATATAAATTATAATTAATTATCTCTTATAATGTAAAATAAGAAAGAGAAAAATATATAGAGGAGATTACTATAAATAATATATTAATCTTGATGCATCAATAAGCTGTGACGGAATTAGAATAGGATTTTTAAAAATTGAATTAACTCGAAAGCCCCCTCTTTCTTCTTCATGCACGAGTTGATGAAATTAGAGGTAAGCTGTAAACGAACTTCAGTGCAACAGTCGAAATATAATAGAACAGGAACGAGCAGGTGTTACACGAATCGGCTGTTAGCTAATGCATATTAGTTAATGTACTAATTCCCATTTAACCGCTAATAATCGGTTAATGATTTATACCTGCTACATTTGGTAAATGCCTTACGCGAAAGCTCTGACATAAACATTATATTAAATAATATAAAAATATAAAATATTATAATAAAATCATATTAATATTTATTTAAAAAAAATGCTAATTTGCAGTTTCATCTTCCATTATCGCGTTTAATATTCGCATTTGATACTCTCTGCTACTCTCGCTGTAATCTCTTGTTCTCTCATTATTCGATCGCTATCGCTCGATAAATCTTTCACTCGGAGATTCTATCAGCTAATAGAACGCATAGCACTCTGCGGTTTTGGTTATCCTCAGACTTTGCAGTGTGCACTTACTACAAAATTGCGGATGTGTCCCATCGGGCAGTTATCGCTGCACATACTACGTGGAATGTGAAACTCGCCGACTCCGGTCGCCCATCGTGTCATATTGATGTCCAGAGAGAGCCTGAGGGAGTAAATTAACCTTTAATTAGCAATCCGGACGCCACAGTGATTTTACCAGTGAATTGTTACGCCGGAGGTACTGCCGAAGGGAAATTTTATGCAGACAAAGCTAATTTTTATTGGGGGAATTCCGCAGAGAGAGACATCAAAAATGCATAAATCGTGAATAATTTTGAGTATTTTAATTCAACCTCGCAAATTTTTATGTAACTTTTGTATTACTTTCTATATATTACTTTTTATATATTTATTCTATTTTAAGAATGTAACAAGTTGCTAATCAGCTAAAAATGATCAATGAGGAAATACGGTATTCGTAAAGAATAATATAAATATAATTCTTCAGCTGATTAATAAATAACACGAATCATTATTGTGTGTATCTAGGATTGGACAAAATAGATACTGCACAAATATTTCAAATGCAAATGTAAAATATAAATAGTGTATGCGAAATAATTTTGATAAATATATTTTAATTTGCTTTGAAATATGTTGTTCGAATTCTCAGAAACACGTGGGACTGACAGTCACATCAATTGTTTAACTGGATCACAATAGTATGCTGCGTGAAATATAAGAGTGTTAAAGATTAATGCGACAGTTTGTGTGTGTGCAACTTGTACGACAAATGACAAAGTTTGCGAATCCCATTTGAATCGAAGGTCGCTACTTACTCTTCTCTCCACGTGCCGATGAGAGTGTAATCGAAACGACCCTCGATGTTCCTTTGATATTGATAGATGTTGTAAAATCCGTAGGCGTCCCCGTCAGAGTTAAATTTAATCTCCGTGTTTTGGCGACCTAAAACAAAATAGGATCTTGTGTTAGCTTTGCAATAAAAACTTATTTTACTAAATACAAGAGTTATGCGATTGTAGAATACAGAATTTAACCATGCTTAAAACTTTTACAGATTTCTTACGTCATTTAATTAATGTACCATTAATTTCAGTTACATAATCCGGAATGTTATTACAGATATAATAAGAAATAAGAAATAGTATAATAACAAAAAATAATAACAAACTGAAATTAAGAAAGAAATGAAAGCAAAAAGGTTTTAAAAATTAATTTGTAAAAAAAGATTAATTTTAAATATCTAGAAAAAAATTAAAATAAAATCTATTGTTAAATCTAGTTGTTAATAATACAATAATTGAAGAATATAAATTAAAGAAATTAGAAAGTAAAATATAAAAGCCTGTGAATAATACGATTTGAAGGACTAGAGACGAGCACACGTTTGTCGGCGTGAGATCGAACACTGAGAGAAAAGTATTTAATATTTACGACTATAATTGTGCATACTAAAATAATTATGTTTGAGGTTCTTATTTTTATAGTTATTATTGCTATAAGTAATATTAGTAAAAATAATCTATATGTACAGATTTTTCGATTATGGTCATTTTCATCATATTTGCTATACATAAACTTACTATACATAAATCACAGGTTATAGTGTATAAAATCATGTTATGGTTAAATAAATGCATGTTAAAGCTATGACAACAATAATGTGGTATGAATCAGCTATAATTTGCATTGTTAAAATAACTATAAAAGCTATAAAAATGTAGTTGGCCACCGAAAATAACTAAAAATGTTAGTGAAATTGTAGTAACTGCAACCATTTTTTTTTTCTCAGTGAAGCGAGTTTGGTAGTTCCGTCTGCGGAATTTATGCCAGCCATTTTATGCGTGGATTATGGTTTATTTATAGGCCAAAAGGAAGGCCAGCGTGCAGCTTCTTTTCGTCCTTGTTAGGGGATCCATTCCCTTTTCCTCAGTTTATCTCTCCACCCTCTCGTCGTAATAATTCGACGCCGGCACCGGCAGCGTAGATCAGCCAGGCGTAGGCGGGTATACAAGATGTATACAAAGTGTTATTTCTAAGACCGCCAATGGCGAAAATAAGCGAAATAAAAACAGCTCGCGGGAGAAAGTAGGTTGTACACAGACGCTGTCGAAGAGGAAAGAGAGATTTCGTATGCGAGGGTGAAGAAAATTATGGGCGATTATGAGGGGAAAAAATCGCGGAGCAAGAGCACGCGGTTATCGCGGTGAGACGCGAAGAAAAAATTATGAAAGTCACGGCAGTAACGTAGCGATATATTTTTTCGCTATCATCTTCAACGTTGTGATGCCTGAAATTCTGGTGTTTCTGGATTAAATTTCTCATTTTTTAAGGGCTCTGTTTACTTCTTATCTTAGTAAAACGAAGAAGGTGATTTTAAAATCAAATTATAGTAAAGGATATAAAAAAAAACAAGATTATGTAACAAATATGAAAAAAAGCCTTTAGTATATCTTTTTATTATAATATTTTTTTAACTAAATTGTTTTAATAATACCACGATGATTTGGAAATAATTATATGATTAAAAATGGTATATACAATTAGTAGATACAATTGATATGTTAAGAATTTACATTTCAACTTTAAATAAGAAATTTTCAAGTATAATACATGGGAAAATTACGGATAAAAATGTTGGATATCAACGGAAAACGCAGGATATCTCACATAATCATTTCTGTTTATTCGATAAGTCTATTAACCATTTCATCAGAACTAATGAGAACCCGTGAAAGAGGACTTCTCGCTGGTCCATTAAGTTATTGTTATTATTGCAATTTTCTCCAACAAAGAGAAGTTCGCGCAGCAATAAAAGCTACAAGGCGCGTTTAGCGCGATGAAATTCGCCCGCGGTAGGTTCATTTGCTTCTCGTAGCGTCAGGGTGAAAATAATGGAGTGCAAACAGGTTCCAGGATTGTCAGGGCTAGTAAATAAGTTTTACAAAAAAAAATACGTGTACATTGTTATTCCGCGGCGCCAGATTTGTGCTGCGGAGAGCTCGTAGGCGGAACATTCAAACAAGTTTGTGGCGTTTGTGCCAAGTTATCGTTATCCTTGCAACGATATCGGCAAAATTACTTACGTTTCGCCTATCGCGGGTTATTGTCGGTAAGCACGTTACAAAGATTCGTAATTTTAATTTATCGCAATTGAACGTCAAACGATTCAAGCGACAAGCTATTCGCGCTATTCCGCGGTAAACGCGCGACTTTGTTTCGAAAAAAACTTTTATTTTTGAAAGTAATTAAAAGAAGTTTGTCGCGCGCGTAGCGACAAATCATTCATCCCACCCCACCTGTACATTTCACATTGTCTGAATAATCTTTGCTTTTGGTCGTATTTCTCAGCATTCTTTAATAAACGAGAGTCTATTTTCAGAGGTCAGAGGTTTTTATGGTATTTATTTCTTTGTTAAGTATATCTGTTGAAAATTTGTTTTTTCCTCGATTATCCTTATCAAAATACTATTTATCTGTAATAGACCAAATAAGTGAGTAAAAGGTACAATCAGGAGTCGAAGAAAGAATAAAGAACAACGAGAAAGAGAGATAACATCGAGTGGAATTTTTCGTTCTGCTTTCAGTCAGCGGTCGGTTTTATTGCCAGTTTATCTGCGAAAATGTTACGGGTAGAAATGAAAGTATTTGAGATGCATAGCCTTTTCCTTCCGAACGTTAAACAACTGAGAGCGCGGATTGAAAGGGAAAGAAAGAAAGAAAGAAAGAAAGAAAGAGAGAAAGAGAGAGAGAGAGAGAGAGAGAGAGAGAGAGAGCGCCAGATAATTCCGAAGTTTAAGCCAAACTCTTTTCAGAGCTTACAGCAGCGGCTATAAAAGTTTTCTTTCGCAAAATCCAATTATTGAAAACAATCTATAAACGTAAATACAGAATTCATTGTCTCATTTGATGCATGTTGAATTCGTATATCGCACGCCACGCAGTAAAGCGAATAATTGAGCACTATCGAACGAGGCTGTTGCAGGTAATTCTACGATAATTGATATTTCTATTCTCGTTATTACGCTCCGCATATTAGTTTAATTTTATTTGTTTGTATTATTGGACAGAAAAATATTGTTCTTTACATTTTATCCAACAAGACTGGAAAAATATTTATAAAGTAGGTAAATTTCTATGTACATTTTATGATTTTATACATTACAAATATATATTATTTACTAGATTTTTTGCTCGTGCATATATAGATGTCCTAAAAATTTAGCGCTAAGGAATCATCTTTTATAAATTATAGAATTAAAAAATTGAAGATTACAACATTATTTTCGTTTTAAATATAGTTAAGCGTTAGAATAAAATTTTAACTAAATAAAATTTCGAGGTAAAAATTGTGAAGCTCGTAACTGAATAATCGATAGAAAGATTTTTCTTGGCCCTATGTATTTATCAAGTACAACTTATTTTATTCAAATAATCTAACGCCTTCTTATTTTATTCAAATAATCTGACATTTATACAGATAGGATTAAAGCTTCGCGCAAAAAATATCGGATATGGTTTAAGCGAAGAATAAATATTCAGCATCGGATGTACATGGGGTTCCGGGAAAATTCTGCAGTTTACCTTAAAGATTATCTTCCATTTATACTCCTAATATTGATAAATGGGAGCTCGAGGTCTAAGATATTCTGATATGAACTAACATCCTGATGGCGCACAAATGTGTCGGGGATTAAAAGCGGACAAAAGCGATAAGAGCGCGGGATTGAAAGATGAGTCGGCGGTGTTATGAAATTATTGGAAGAGCCAGCCGTGGGGAAGGAAGGAAAGTTTGAACGTTATGCAATATTGTCGCGATAAATCTCGGCTGATACGCGATCGGGGGATGGCCGGTTAGGATAATCGCATTGCCATTTGATAGTGCGCCGTAACGAGGGGCAGTCTTATAATTGTGTCGCAGAGTTCACCGACGTGAAAGTGTTACGTTCCCCCGTTAAATCGGGGAAAGTGTTTTAATTGCAATATCGATGAGGGCGTCGAGATCGCCTCTGATGTTACTGATAGATCGCTTCACGTGCGAGATGACGCAGTCGCTCGGCGTACTTACTACGCGGAATTCTCGCGGATATAATTGATCGATTCGTTCGAGCTTTTCAATTTAACGCGGCCTTTTTTTCCACATTCGGCATGTGGAAAACGCTAACAAGTTTTGACCAATTAATCAATCCTGTCTCTCGTGTCATACAAACGCGTGAAATATTCCTACGACACTTAATTGTTTTTAATCCGCAAGCGTTATAATAAGAGATGCAACTTGTAAACTTTCAAGTAAAATTGCATATTTACAAGTTTCTCGTGAGGTGCTCTGAAGTTTCGCTTGAAAGTTAATTTAGGCGTTAAATTAAAAAATTACTTTCGAAGAACTTTGCGTAACTCACCGATGAAAGTGACATTGCGAATGTGTTGGAGGAGACGTGGACCGTCCGGTGCTGGTATAAGCGTTTCGCAAAGATAATGCGAGGTACCCAAATTATTTACGCATTCTTCCTCGATAACGTTATGAACACCGTGTGCCATGGCGTAAACTGCATCCACTGCAAATAATATGAAAATATCCAGTTTCAGCAATGTTCTTATAAACGCATATTATCTATCTGATCTAAATAAATTGGTATCTTGTATCATTAAATTAAATATATCTGTTTTTAAAGGAAGAAATTTATTTTTATAAATCTTTCATCCAAGAGTGTTAAAAAGAAATCTACGAGCTCAGCATAAAGCATAAAGAAGAAACTTAGCTCAGGAAAATAAGGAATTTCTCGTTTATGTTAGATTTATGATACGATGAAAAATAGAGAGACTTGTTTTTCTAGATACTAAATAAGATATTTATATATTATCCTGCTTCTACAATTTTATTTATCTCATTCGTCGTGATAAAATATGATCTATCAAATTTACGAGACACTTCGCAGACAATCAGACAGGTCTTATTATTCGATCCATCTCGAAGATTTCATGTTATGCGATAGCGAATGCCACTATTTGATTTATTTATTCACGGATAAAGAAAACGTCGAGCGCAAATTGTTACTTGAGGAAAAGACGTCTCGTGGCGCATAATAAGATGACTTACAAGATTTATCTACTATCGTGATGCACCCGAACGTGAAGAGTTTTCGATCGCTTCGCGCTCGACGAGACCCTGTCATTTATCTCACGGGAGGATGGAACGTAAGAAAAGGGAAGAGAAAGGGAAAGAGTCTTAAACGCGGGATTCGGGGAAACGTGATGGTTGATTTCGCGCAACTTTTCACGCGTCACCGGACGTGTGTTTGTTAACGCAAAAACCATAGCCGGGAAAAATTGCTTCGCTCGGTTCACCGCGGTTTCCTTCCTTTCCATTTGTCGTGTCTTTGCCCGAGGAAGTTTGTCGCGAAAGCTTACTCGATCTCATCCGTCGGAAGGTACGCGATCTAATGGATCACGGAATACAGTCAGCTGCAGTTAATTGCGTACACAGACGAATGCTTACGAACAGACGATAGCGACTTGGGATTAATTGTGTGAAATTTATGTTTCCCTCTTGAAATTTTATCTCTTTTTGCTTATTTTAAATTAATTAATTAAGATTTATTTATGCGTAAAACGTATCCTTGATTCCAGTAAATTCATAATCTTTGAATAAAAATATTAAGAAATGATTGAAGATATATGTGTTAATTAAAGTAAGTTAAAATAAAATCTTAACGTACTGTTTAATATTTTCAACATATAAACATATATATATTTAAAAAATTATATGTAGGTATATGTATATTATATAAAGTGCTCTTTTAAGTACTATTCAATATTTTAGGAGGTCGTTTTCTTAAAGGCCTTGTTTCAGAGATGTAAAATTTTAAAAATTCTATAAATTTATCATTTTTTTCTTAATAGCTCTTAAATGAAAAAAAGTTTAAAAAAATTAGTTTGTTATAAAAAAATTAATTTTTGCCATAAAGATATACAGGGTGTCCGAAAAATCGCTTACTCCACTTCGGGAGGTGATTCGGGACCCAAAAACGAGCAAAAAAGTTCATACAAACATAGGTCCGGAAATGAGCCGTTTCCGAGTTATAGCCACTTTTATGTTCAAAAATCGTAATTTAGAATCCGTTAGACATACCTCTTTTTTATTTATTTCTTAAATTAAAAATTTTTATTTTTAAATATTTTTAATTTTTTTAATTTTAATTTTTTATTTTTTTTTAATTTTTTAATATTTGTAAATACGATTACATTATTTTTAAAAGAAATCAGTTGTTTTCTCAGCTACTTGAAAATTAGTTGTTTTCACGGCTATTCAAAATCAGTTGTTTTCACGGCTACTTGAAATCAGTTGTTTTCTCGCCTATTCAAAATCAGTAAGTAAATCACGGTTTTTCAATAAGTTTCAAATTATTATTTAACAACACCTTACTTTTAGGTTGTATCTAATCTTTCCATATTCATCAATGGATCGTTTAAGTTTTAATAAATTAGCTGATATTTAAAAATAAAAATTTTTAATTTAAGAAATAATTAAGAAAGAGGGATGTCAAGCGGATTCTAAATTACGATTTTTGAACATAAAAGTGGCTATAACTCGGAAACGGCTCATTTCCGAACCATATGTTTGTATGAACTTTTTTGCTTGTTTTTGGGTCCCGAATCACCTCCCGAAGTGGAGTAGGCGATTTTTCGGACACCCTGTATATTGCAAGTATATTTTTAAGTTAAATGCAAAAAAATTTGATTCCAGTCATTGGCGTATAAATATATTAAATATGGAGTAATGGACTATATAATTTTTCAACACTCTATCTTTAAAACAAGATTTTTGAAATCATATAAATTTTTCTTTATGAGAAAATCTCAAAAATTAACTCCTAAAATATTGGCTAGACGTATAAGAGACATCCTGTATATAATGATGTGTTATATTATTATGTACATCTTGTGTGAAACCTTTAATCTTATTGCATACCTTAAAACAAACATATATAATATAATTCTATATTTTTATACAATATAAAATAAAATTATATGATTAAACGAACTTACCTGTAAGTGAAGTTCTATCATAATTGTATGAAGCGCCTCTTCCGAAGAGATCATATGGTAGTAGCCCCTACTATGTACCGATGTACCACAGTTTTAAAGTTCTAAAACTTTCCGCTAGGGTTAGCTTCCCGTTCCGTTGGTCATTTATTTAAAGTGCTGCCGTAATATCTAGGGTTCTAATAATATTAGAATTGGGTATATACTGGGTGGGACCGATCTCTTCGGAAGAGGCGCTTCATACAATTATGATAGAACTTCACTTACAGGTAAGTTCGTTTAATCATATAATTGTATTGCGCGCCTCTTCCTCGAGATCATATGGTAGCTGTTTAAAGTTATTACGGCAGATAGATTATGCCTGAGATTCCGTGAAAGGGACAACAAAATTTTATACATTTACAATTTTTAACCGCATTTAGCGTATATCCACTTAACCAAAGGATTTAAATACAAGGACAATTAAATCCTTAATTTGTATAACTAAGGATAGATTTAGCGATATATTTATATATTTTAATTATATATAATATATATTTCAATTATTATTAAAATTATCCTGCGCACCATTTACTGCGCCCGGCTCTAATTGGTGTTTTTTTTTTTTTTTTTTTAAGCTTTGCAAAACATTCTCGACCACTTTGCCGCCTTTCTAACAACGTCTATGGTGACGTCACTTCGCTTATCGGTCGAAATTGAGGCATGGCGGGTGCTATATGCATTGGTCACATCTGTGTCAATTCTACTTACGTTGTCAAACAGCGTTACTACTATTAAGATAGTTTTTCAACCGTTATGACTTCATATCACCCCAGCGCCATGATCCAATACAATACAATCCTGGGATCCTCAGAATCATATTTTGGCCAGTGGCATGCTAGGATGCAGCTTTCTAACTTATCTTCATTCTCGCATCTTGTGTGCAATAGACCTTAGACCAGAACTTGAGATTAACCTCCAAGGCGTTTGTTGGTGTACCTATATATATATGCAACCTGTTCACTAAATAAGTTTTTCTAAGAGGTGGCGAATAAAGGTCGATGATTTCTGGTCAAACTTGAACTCAGATCTTTGGCTCATTAGAGCAGCGCACATCTTTCTGTGCTATGATCACCACCACCTCTGGATTTTATAATAATAAGACTTATCCAAGATTATTATGTACAACTATCAGACACGTCCATAAGAGGCTTTACTTTCTTGAAACCTTTTAATCAAGAGCTCCATCCGTGAAGAAAACATGATGTCTGTCGTCTCTTAGCTCGGACGCTTCTTTGGCAGCGTCCCGACAATCAGGATAATCCTCTTCCAGAGAGGATATGACTTCCTGTCAAGGAACCACAGAAAATATTTACTCGGTTCTAAATAAAACGAATCAGAATCCAAGATTATTAAGTACACTGGGCCTCATGCCCGAACCGGCCACTTAGGGGCCACTTCAATATTTCTCGAACCTTCCAATTTCACTTTTTTTTTTTTTTTTTTTAAGTATAGTCGCGAACGAAGAAGTTGCGTAAAAATTAAAATTGTTTCCAGAATAAGTAAACGCGTTAATAACTAACGCTTCTCAATCGCTTATCCACGAGATATGACGCAAACATTTGGAATTGGTTCGAGATGCAAATAAGTTGATGTTCGGTTTACAAAACTTCTGTACTATCGTCGAAGAGAAACCGTATTTGATAACACAAACTTCGTTTCCGGTTCAAGATGTCTCGACGCTCTTCTTGAATCGTATATACAATGTAAAGATCCAAAGATCCTTCTCTTTGCATCCCCCTCAGTCCTTTGAATTTTTGCGAGTTACTTAAGACCAAAAACACTGATAAGAACTCAAGATAGTTGATATGGCATTCCGATATCCGTGAATCCGCTGAGCTTGGTAAAGAACACCTCAACCGGAGGGTAACGCATCCAAATGTATTTCTAAGGCCAATTTGAAAAAAAAAAGCTTTTAATGAAACACCAGTCAAAAAACCTCTTTTAATTCGTGTTTCTTTGAAACACAATCAATTTTTCTTATTCAGAATACTTCATGTGTATCCAACCAAATTTTAAGGCTACACAACATAAACCTAAGGTTCCTATGAACCTGGCAAAAATCTCGAATGGAATATCGTGTAATTGCCTCGGATTTATAAGCTGTTCACTAATTTTAGGTACTCGTATCCTAATCAAACCAAGAACCATATCTCTGGTCGCCAGCTTCATTTTTCTCCTTTTCTCACTCATTATGAATCATAGTGATTCCAGAAACTGCATGTTTCTTGTATGTTTCTCAAACATACCGTATATGTCTCATCTAGAAGAAGAAAGCCATCCAATTAATTATTTAACGGATAAGTAGCCCAATTCTCTTAGGTAAGAGATTGGCTTCATAGTTTTTTTTTTTTTTTTTTTTTAGTGTACGAAGCCGTGTTTTGCACAAAAACGGGTACTTTAGCTCATAAAGAGCACCTTCAACAAAATTCTCAAGTACTTATATTGTCTGAATCAGCAATGTGAATTAATTAATATGCGTCCTTCAAATCAATCGACGCCAGGAATTATCCTTTAGCCAGAATTTGTTTGACCTTTTTTCTGTCTTTTATTTAAGATGCTCAACATAATGGTAACTTATTTATTAAGCTATAACTTATAAAGCTTTTTCAGATTAAGGATTAACCTGTAAAAAATTTATTAGGTTTGGGAATAAGATAATTCTCGAAATAATTAATTTGAAACTGGCTGATACTTCGGAATGGCCTGCTTTCTCGATAGCTGTACTATTTGTTACGAATCTGTATCTTTACCTGCTCGGCTATTGCGGTTTTTTCGTATATATGAATTGTCTCATTGACATTTAGGCTGTGCCAGTCTATTGGCAACATTACTTACAACTAATTTCTTTTCGTAGGCGCTTGTTCCGGCTTCCAACCGGTAACGTACCGGTAATGTGATTTTGAGAGGACAAGTTCTGTTATTGACTGTACATCTGCCTCTGCTCGCTCGCCTTCGATTGACCGTATGGCTTCTGTCGATTTCGGCGAGACAGCCTTGCGAGTTTCTAGAACTCGAGGCCCTTGCAATTCCAGCAATGGCAGCAGTCGTTCTGTGCTTCATTGATTGCCGCACAATTTTGGTTTTTGAACCATACGCTCGTCCTCTTACAATAGTGCTGTCTAAAACAGATTTAACCTCCAAATTTATATTTAATGGATTTATTACCGCATAAGTTTTCCGGAGGAATTTTTTAATTTGCATTTTCAAGGCGAATTAGTTGGACCAAGACACCTGAATAACTTTTTTAGCAGGACCTTTCGCTCCTCCAAGGGAAGATCTTTTACAAAGACGTCTTCCCGCCTGACTACAAGATCTTTGTAACCCGCTGGTTTTAGGATTCTATCAGGCAAAATGCAATCTCTGAACATATCTACGATCAAACAGGAGAGCGACTCCTCGTATCACGACTCTTACCGTCTCGACGCTAAGCAGATTTACAAGCGTCTTTTTAAACCTCATCTTAAGGATCGCTGCTAAACGTACTAAGAAACAGATACGCACTAGTTTTTAAGAAATCCTTGTCGTAAGAAAGACCTTCCAAATAATAACGACTACAGCTTTTCCTATTGGCATCATAATATCGCCTGTAAGGATATTCGTATTCAAGGAAAAATAGTCTTTCTAATAGTTTCAAGGCGAGTTATACTCGGATTGTTTTTTAATATATTGGTTGAACCAATATATTTACGGATAATATTTTCCGCAATAATTTCTAAAAAATTTTAGATACCATCCTTAGTCAATAGTTGTCGATTGGCAGTCTGGTCGAAATCATTTACCTTTCTGATGATATTCTGAAACAAGATGTTATGAGTAAAGGTTATGTATGCAATTGAATTTTATCAATCACACATTTCCAAGGTGAACTGGTTGGACCAAAACACCTGGCTTTGCATATGCGTATTATATGTGCACAATTGAAGTTCCTCAATTTGCCTTCTCAAGTCGAATTGGTTAGACCAAGACTAAATCCCTTTTTTAAAGTCGCTGCAGTCAGTACAGTCCCGAACAGGCTTGATAGCTGAGAGGACGTTACGCGGTGAGGTTTTGTGCACAATTGAAATTCAATTTGTATTCTCAAGTCGAATTGGTTGGACCAAGACGCCTGAATCTCGCCTATGCATCTTACCCCATTTTTAAAGTCGCTTCGAACGGGCTTGATGGTTGAAAGAACGTTACGTGGCAAGGTTATGTGCACAATTAAAATTTTTAATTTGCATTCTCAAGGCGAATTGGTTGGACCAAAACACCTGAATCTCGCCTATGCATCTTACCATTTTAAGATCACTACCGCCCCGACCCAACTTGCTAGCTGGGAGGACGTTACGCGGCGAGATTATGTGCACAATTGAAATTTTTCAATTTGCATTCTCAAGGCGAATTGGTTGGACCAAGACACCTGAATCTCGCCTATGCGTCTTACCTTTTTGAAGTCACTATCGCCCGATGGTTAGGCTATCGTAGGACATTCCGCAATGAGGTTATGCACAATTGAAGTTTCTCAATTTGCATTCTCAAGGTGAATTGGTTGGACCAAAACACCTGAAACCTTCCTTTACGCATTACTGCGTTGACATATAGTCGATATAGACACCTTTATATCTTGCTGCTGCGTCTCGCTCGGTTACTTTCGTCTAACCGTCAGGTGCCTCCTTGGCACCGAGGATGACGACGGTGAGCCACGAGCACGACCGTAATGGTCGTGATGATCACGACACAGCGGCGACGGCGACGACGAGAGGATACCTCGCGCGCGGTGCTCGCGATTACTCGCAACAACGACGCGCTTCCCTTCACTTCACCTGTTTCCCACGAACGTACGTAAACGCCGTGGAAGTGCAGCGTCAACCATTGTCACGACGACAACAGTCCGGCTTCGTGTAGCCGTCGTTCGTCGTCACTCGGCACATAACCTCGCACCGTACACATATGTGACGTATGTAAGTGACACCGTACACATATGAGAACGACGAACGCTACCTCACCGTCGCTATCGTTTCCTTTCTGTACCTCCTCGCCGTCTTCTGAACTCGAGGAACCGTCTCTAACTTTCCTTATTTCTATTTTCTTCGGAATCTCGTAAACACGCGTGTGGCTTAATCGGCACAAAGTAAAAGAATGACCAACGGAACGGGAAGCTAACCCTAGCGGAAAGTTTTAGAACTTTAAAACTGTGGTACATCGGTACATAGTAGGGGCTACTACCATATGATCTCGAGGAAGAGGCGCGCAATACAATAGGAATATATCTATATGTAGTTATATATACTATATGTAATTGCTTTTTAAATATTATATTGCATATTTTCTAAAATCTCTTACAATTTACGAATAAAGAAATGTGTACATGTTAATCGGATTGTATTCATCGCAGACTGCACATAAACGTGGCAGGAAATGGACTTGATAATGCGATAATTTGTAAAATGCGTGATCGGCTAAGGACAAAAGGAAATCGTGTGGTAAATAATCGATTGAGGCGCACTGTTATCTCATTGCAAGACGCAAGTCTCGTCATACATTGTCGGAATTACGATCGAACGGGGGACGACTAGATTCTTCCCGTTTCTATTTTCGGGCTAGAAAAATGGTCGAAGAGTGACGGAAAGTTGGAGGGTTGCCGAGAATGCTTCCTCTCCCTTTCATTCTTCTTCTCACCGATAACTATCTTTCCGCTCGTCTTGCTCCTCGTTCTCTTCCTTCCGCACTGATCATTTCTTTCGCACTTCAGGATATAAACGATCGCGAAGTGTCCCCTATCTGCAAAGTGTCCCGATTCGCACTTTCCGCAATTAATTAACCAATTCATTCACGGCATGAATAGGAAGAGTTCGTCCATACGTTATTTTTTTTTATTCATTACGGTGGAATTATAACTGATGCGGTAATTTATTTATCAGAGCATTTAACAATAATAATGAGAAATGGAAAGTTAGGGTGGTTTTTCCATTAAAATTAATAGCTTTAAACAGTTTAAACTGTTAAACAGTTAATTGCAGTTAATTACTTCAAAATAAATAGTCTTTTTCACAAAAATTTAACTAGAGACTTCATCAGATCAACCGAGTATTGAATTTCGAGATTTGGAACTGATTGTGAGAGATAAAAATGCTGAAAAGCAATTTTTAATACTGACTTTTTTAATCCCCTTTTTTTAAGTTAAAAATTTTGTTTATATATTTTTCGCGGAAATATTATACATCGATGCAAATCGGTTTTTGTGCCACACATATTTCTTTCTGCGTAACATATAACAGGTAAAATAGGCATTCGGAGAAAAGTGTCAATATAACGATAGAATAAATCTATATACGTTACCGACAAAAGGCACCAGGCCCTCCTGTTCGTAATCGACGAGATTTTCTTCGCCGGTGCAATGTGTCACGCCGTTCGACGCGTTCACGCTGAAAGTGCACTTGTGATGCTGCGACCAGAACTCTCGGAACCAGATATTCCGGCAGTTTACCATCCTCCCTTTCGAGGACTCATGGGGAATATTGTTCTCTGCCTGCCCGCCGCACTCGTCGCCAATTCTTGGCCGCAAGCTTAAATAGTAGTCGTCGAAACCTACAATATTAGAATTGAACCGCACTTGTTACTCGAATCGTTCAATAAGGTTTGATAGCTTCGATATATTATGCTTTTTTGCCGGAGAAAAACTTCTTGCGCTCCTCAGTCGCGATAAAATTGAAAAAAGAACATTTCATTCCAGAAAGCCAACTTTATTGAAAAATGTATCTTTCATTTAAATCTTGTACTCCGTAAAGATAAAATTTTTTGTTGATTCTTTTATTATATTTTAATAATACTCTCATGATTTATCTAGAAGAAAATCTATTTTTTACAAGTAATTTTGTATAACAATTAAAAATTTAGGAAGCTTTAGATCAATCAGTTTGTGCAATTTGTATCTTCATTTACAATATATTATGTAAAATTAAATGTATTAAGTCAATGGTCGGCATCAGAGTGGTCGATTACTGCTGTAAAGAATATAGGTAACGTATTTCATTCATGAAAGGATGTACTTTAACGAAACATATACTAACAATAAGTACGAGACATATATCTTGATAAATTTATGTTTGCACAAATATTTTGTCGATTAAATAGGGTGCATTTTATTCCCCAAATAGACGTAAAGTTTAATGTCCAATAATAAAAGCATGCATCACAATTTAAATAAAACAATTTGAATAATTGGCATAAATCTTTGTATAATTTTTTACATAATTTTTTACATCTTTCAATTAGTTATAGTACAAGACCTTGGTGTTTGCGAAAATACCGCAAAATTGCTACAGTTCCTTACCTCATTATTATTGTAATAAAAACAGATTTAAATAATATATTAGAATAGTGCGTAGGGCATTATTTAAGTATTAAAATATTTAAATTAAAATAGTTTATTACTTTATTAAAATATGTATCAGCATATTTTTTTACCTAATTTGTTTTGATGAAAACACTGCATTCCTTTTGCCTTTCTCGAAAAAGGTGATTTTATAAAATTTTG